CGGCGGGGGACACCAGAAATACAAATTATAGATGTACCGGTACATACATTATGGGATGTATTGCCAAACATGAAACAGAACTGATCTTAAGTAACCCATACTTGTTGTAAGAGGCGACTAACGGGATCGGGTGGTCAGGCTCGCTGACTTGGCAGACTCATGTCATCGAATCCCAATTGTGAAGACTGATGCTCATGATGTTGATCACTGGATTGTCTGGTCCAGACTCTATTATTTACAGACCGCCACCATATACATGTAGCTGGAATATTGCTGGCATTTGAGTGTGGCGTAAAAGTAAACTTACTCACTCAGTCACTAATGCATGTAAATGGTATAGAGTTCATTTAACTTGACCTATGATATGTGCCCTCAGATCTTCACGCTTATCAGATTTTGATGATACTGACATATAATACACCGTAAAATAAAAGGGTTTAAGATTCAGATCTGGTTATTGTACTTTGAGCAACATCACAAAGTACATGTAATTACACCTACACAAGAATCATGATCTCAGGTTATCATAAACAGTGATAACTTCACTCTTCATTCAGATAACAGACTGACAATGTATTGAAGATGTTAATCTATGGCCTTGGATCACAGAGAGTGAGTGAGTGAGTGAGTGAGTGAGTGAGTGAGTGAGTGAGAGAGAGAGAGAGAGAGAGAGAGAGAGAGAGAGAGAGAGAGAGAGTAATAATTCGTTTAACAAGTCTGGATGTCTGGATGAGACAAATTGATGACGATAATTTAGAGTGAGTGAGAATTCATAGACATTCATTAACCAACTCTGGATGAGGCAAACTGGTAACAATAATTTAAGTGAGTGAGTGAGTGAACAACACACAGCAATGCTTAAGTACCATGGCAGCCTGTAAGTTACCAATTCTGACAAACCGATGACTGCTAACGTGAGTGAGTGAGTGAGTTGGGTTTAATGTTGCTTTGAAAAGAATTCCATCACATTTCCGCAAAATATTGAATACCTCATTTTCTGATCTGAATCCCCACAGGGGTGATCTATATTTATTGAACACATACCATTTTGCAAGGACCAGCATAACACAGACTCCAAGTGACTGCACTTGTAAGCCTCAACAAAAACATTTATCTCACCTCCATGTCAGAATGATGAAATCTGATTGGCTTACATGATTGTAACAAACACTATATATCCCACCTGGGAGGAAAATAAATTCCTCAGCTGGAGAATAAATCCCTTACATCCAACCACTAAGGCAACCAGCTGTACATGGATTTTCAAATGGGACAATAAATAAAACACAAGGACAAAAAAATTAAGAAAACAGGTACAAGTTGTCTACAAGACAATCAGCCTGATGTGACACACCACGAGTTAGTGTCTGCTCTTACTGTTTTCAATCAATTTTCAATGTGTTTTAATTTGTTTTCAGTGTCAGACTAAAACACATAAGCCAGAAAATTCTCTGTGACAGCATCACTTGGGGTGAGGAAAAGTGGTATAAAACCTAATGAGGCACACAGGAAACAACATGTACCAACGTGAAACTGCTACATCTTACATTATCTATCAAATATTTGCTTTTTTGTTCAAGTAATGATTTTAAGCTAAGCTCAAATACATGTAATCTTAAAAGGTACAATACGTACCTTTGAGTTAATAAAAGTATCCCTTTATAGCACACAACAAAAATGCTAGAATAATGTGTGCATGTAGATAATGCTTTGAATGATACGATCTGAGAAAAACAGATTAATATCATCTGAGAACTAGAAGGAATCCTTATTTAACAAACTGATAATCAAGGCATAATGCATGAACTATTCTGAAATGTTTGGTGATCAAGTAAGGTGAGGTGGCTCTCTATTTTGGTCAGATTGACATGAGATGGCAATATTCTCAGCATAAAATGCTGTTGTTATTATTATTTCGAAATGTTGTTTGAAAGTTTTCAATTCAGGAGAGTTCTAATAACAGTCAGGCTTTTACGAAATTGTTTTTACTCTTAATGCATATCAATTTATGATATTACTATATTTTCAGAGAATGTTGCCATCAGCTGATAAAGTGAAATGAAGCTATGAGATATGAGTGATATACTGACAGGTGGCTGGTATCATAACAGGGCTTTGAGATGTCAAGTAGCATGTCCCCTGATATCATCATATCAGAGAACATTCTGACGACAGCAAGACGTATTGTGGACTCCAATATGTGTGCCAATCTACAGGCATCGGAAAATACCCAAAATCAAACAGTATGTTATTCGACATCCTACTTTCAGACACCTGAGTTACAATGTAGGCATTCATTCTAATTTTATCAAAGGAAAAGAGATTCACGAACAATTATAGCCACAAACTTCTACATCAGTGTCTTCCATTTATTCGGCTTCAAGAAACTACAGTATAACTCAAAACTTGAACAAGATCATTTGAAACAAATTAAGCTGCATATTTTGAGTCTGGGTCAGCCAAAGCACTGGTAGATAGCATAATTAACATTCCAGTTTAGTTCAGTTTGTTGTATAATACAGCAATCAGCAATTTTCCTGCTACAGTCAGACGTATATCCGAACTTCAGATATCTGAATACCTCGGTTTCCGAGCATTTTTCACAAAAAACGAAATTTTCTAGTTACAATTTACCTCGTATATCTGAATGTTCGGCTTCCGTATCCGAATTGTCAATTTTGGTAACGAAACAACAAAATATGTACAAATTTGCCTCGTATATCAGAACACCAAGGCTGTCGTCGGCAAGATGTCTGGTGTTTACCGCTCCTCAGCAGTGCTCAATCCTATATCAAAACCCAAAGTCTGTTGTCAGCGAGGTATCGAAACACGAAGTCTATCATGTCTACCGCTTGTCAAAACATTTTGCTTGTTGACAATGCGGCTAGTCACAACTGTAAAAATCTGAAACTGACCAGCGTGATTGTCCATTTCCTGCCACCCAACACAAACGCACACATTCAGCCAATGGATGCAATGGATTTGAAAATGTCGGCAACCTCACAAACCTGGAGCTGTTGTTAAAAATCCAAGCAGCGAATAACAACTCTGTCCGTCAACAATCATCAATCAAAGACTTTTTCAAGCCGATGTAATTTATGTTATGTTATGTTATGCAAGATGTTATGTTAAATAAAGATGTAGTTATGTTTCAATGTTATTTTTATTTGTTTAGTTTTCACGTGTAGGCGACCGCCTAGGTCCTGATTCAGATATCTGAATGATTCATTTGTCCGAACAATTCAATAAAAACAAAGTGTTCGGATAAATGAGGTCTGACTGTACATGACGATGGTCTATAAATAGTGGAGCCTGGATGAGACAATCCAGTGACTGATGAGCATCAATCCACGCAGTTGGGATATGATGGCACGCATCGACCAGCCAGACTACTCGATTCTGTTAGTCGCCTCTTACCATAAGCATGGGTTGCTTAAGGACAGTAAGTCCATGTTAAAATATTGGGAATTACTATAATCGTGTGTGGCTCTACACCAAACATAAGTCTATGTTAAAGTACAGAAACTACGTTCATCTTAGTGACAGTAGTGCTAGAACTCTCCAGGGTTTTACCCACAATGCCACATCCTGACAGAGGCACAAAAATAACAAGTGTTTGCCACTAACATGGCAATGTCCCCAATGCCACATCCTGACAGAGGCACAAAAATAACAAGTGTTTGCCACTAACATGGCAATGTCCCCTGCTGCTAAAGAAGAATGAAATATTTATAACATATTAACTACTTATTAGTTTTTGGTCACATGCAAGAAATCACTGGTGTCTGCATAATCACCCAATGTAGGCTGTTGACATAGTTGAAGACATTGGGTGCAATGTTTTATGAGATATCGCGTTTACATAAGTTTGAAAAGTGGTCAAAGTGTCGTGGTGACCTTGAAGATAAGGTCAAGGTAACCAAAGTTGACTAGTGTCTGCGTAATCGCCCAATGTAGGCTGTCCCCAAATTTGAAGACATTTGGTACAACGGTTCTCATTAACAAGAATCGGAACGTACGTATGTACGTACGGATGCCGCTGAATACATAGTCCCCCGTTCCGCGTTGCGGCCCCGGACAACAAGAGCATACCAACTGTGCAGATAGAGTAGTTATCTGTGTCTGTTATATCACCCATCAGTCATGTCCGCTGTCCCCGTGACCACTGATTCATTCCAGGCTCTGAAGTAATTATCTGAACGTACAGTACACTACACCATTCCAATACTTTACAGGACCCTCATGTTACAAGGACTTGTAAAATGTATTGATGGGTGCCCCCTGGACACCCACTTTCGTAAGTCAAGGTAAAACCCTAATCTCGTATGTCTAAGTAGAATTACGGGAGCAGCCATCATCTTAGTGACTGTGATGCTACAACTAACATAAATCTCTGTTAAAATATTGGAGTTACCAAGGTTTTAGTGTTTGTAACACAACAGTTAGCAAAATGTATCAGTCAAAGCAAAGGAAATTAGATCATCCTTGCCAAAGTAGCGTCACAACTAACATAAGTCTATGTTATAGTATTGGAGCTACAATCATCTTAGTGACTGTAGCACTAGGCTTACTGGAAATCTATGTTTAAAATTTAAAGCGATTGTAACAATCACCATAGAAAATGTAGCTACAGTTACTGGAAATCTATGTTTCAAGCGGATGCACTGCAATCACCATAGCATCTGTAGTCTTTCAGTTACTGGAAATCTATGTTCAAAGTAAGGGTATTAAAATAACCATAGCAACTTTGGTGCCACAGTTACTGGAAATCTATGTTAAAACATTAAAACTACAGAATGTGAGTTACCACAACTAGTACACCATGTGGAACAATATCTAGATAATGCAATGATTACCATATGTAACAGTGTTAATTATGGTTAATCATTATGTTGGCAAGCAGACAAAATGTTTTTTGAGAGATATGATTCAATCTTGGGCTACGAACTGGCCCCAGCTAATCCCTCTATCCTTAACGTCATCAGTGCATGTGTACTCACTGTTTGTGGAACTGTGGAGGATGAAGCAGATGTTGGTGAAGAACGACGAGTCCGACTTGATGCTGCTGATCCACGTACTCCCGGCCTCACGGTTCGACATACAGGTGTACACAAGCCTGTAGGTGAACAGTTGACACACAGGTAGAAACTAGCCTTTGGGTTAGGGGAGAGTGAGTGAGTTTAGCTTTACGTCGCACTCAGCAATATTCCAGTTATACGGTGGCGGTCTGTAAATATTCTAATTTGGACAAGACAATCTAGTGATCAACAGCATGAGCATCGATTTATGCAATTGGGATACGATGACATGTGTCAACCAAGTCAGCAAGCCTGACCACCCAATCCCGTTAGTCGCCTCTTACGACAAGCATGGGTTACTGAAGACCAATTCTAACCCGGATCTTCACGGGTAGGGTTTGGGGAGGATGTGAATGAGCACCACAAGCTCACTTGTCTGTTAGTCAGGTGAGCATAAGTTGGGCAGAACATTTAACTTCCTGAATAATTATGTAACTTGGTATGATTTTAAACACGTTTACAGTTGGCATGGTAACACGGTTACCTTGTTGTTTCCACTAGAGTTGGAGTGTCTGGATTTTCAACCATCATGACTATCATCTTCCTGTTGATGAAAACATACATTTAAAAAAGCTTACCAAAAACAAAAGGATAAAACATGAATTACAATGATAACAGTGAATATAGCATTAACTAAATAATATGATAAAGATGCTTTAACAGATAGCTTCTTATTTTCTGTGACTGCCATGCTAAGGTAAAAAATAACACAAATGAAATGATAAGGGACCAGTTTAGACAACTGGTAATGGTAAGGATATTGTAACAGAAAACTATTAATTGATTTTATTAAAGTTATGATGATAATCAGAGAGTTTAATATTCGAAAAACTTTCTGCCGCTATCAGGTTTCTGTTTGTTAACTTTATGAAAAATCTTTAAAAAAATCTTTGAATGGCATTTAGAAGAGATACACATATAGGAGAAAAATGTATAAATGTCAACTCTTGTAATATGAAAAACATGTTTCGTAGATGAATATTCAAAATGACAAAGTTATTATAATCTAAATATTTTAGATATTTAGATATTACCTCACCATAGGTGTTATGCATATTACCTCAAGCTCTGCTTAAAAGAGATCAGACAGCCGTTGATTTGCCATTCTTCTAGAATGGCTGCCTCGCGTATCGACAAGTGTATAGGAACGGAAGTGATGTAATCTCCCCTCCCGCGCAAGCACGGGAGTTACCATCCTATGGTAAGGTAAGTATTTAAATATCTAAAGTATTTAGATTTTAATACATTTTGAACTGTCTTATGCATATGGATTCGACAGTAGGATGGCGGTGTCGGGCTCCAGAGGACTGTCCCATGAAGAAAAAGACCACATGCCAAGGGAAACCAGGGAAGACTATCGGACTCGGTAGACGGGCAAGCAGCGCGCCTGGAAGCAAGAAACAGATAGTAACCCAGGGAAACCCAAAGGAAAACAAGTACGCACAGGGCGTAAGTTAACCTTAAGACTAATAGGTAAGGAGAAATAGTTACCTAGTGAACGGTAGGTCGGGTGAGTTGCTGGGCAACTACCAGTGGACCAAAAGACTGAAGACCTTAAACAACCTCGACGGCCAAGTCCCGCAGGTAGTGGCTGGCGAAGACAGAAGAGGACTTCCTCCAATCCTCCATGATGGCTGGAATAGTGCAGTTCCTATGGAGTGCCATGGTCGATGCCAGGGCCCTGATCTCATGCGGGTTGTTGGCTGTAGGGTGAGGGAGATCTTCTGCGTCGTAGGCGGCCAGGATGGTCGTGCGCAGCCAGAGAGCGATGGTATTCCTATTGACCTCACCCTTTGCCGCAGAGGAGAACGGGATGAACAGTCTCTTGCAAGACTGCCTCCTGGATGACGACTTGGAAATGTATATCTTCAGTGCCCTCACGGGACACAGCAGCTGATCCTCAGCGTTGTGGGGCCCTAAGATGGATGACAACGGAGGAATGGTGAACATCCTATCCAGTTGTCCCGGCAGCTGGTTCTTGGCCACGAAGTCCCAAAGCGGTCCCAAATGAACAGGTCCATGCCGAGACTGCTCGAAACGAACTCTGGTGACGTCCAAAGCGTGGATCTCACTAACCCTAGCCGCCGTGGCAAGGGCCAGAAGGAAAACTGTCTTCCTGGAGAGGTTCTTGAATGAGGCAAGGGCAAGGGGGGACCTCTCAGATGACGGAGAATGATGTTTAAGTCCCAAGCAGGAGGACGAAACTTGGCCTTCTGATCCTCCACCTTGAAAGCTTTGAGCATGGTGATGAGCTCTGGCGCCTTGGAGATCCTCCTGTCGCTCTTGACAGCCTTCTGCAAATGGTCCAGGCGTACAGATGAAACCGAGTTGGGTCGGGGTGCAGCTGACGACTGTGCAGATGTCTGAGTAGGTGAGGCCACTCTGGAAACGCTAGAGGGCTTCTTTCGGCGAGGTGGCGCAGATCTGGAAACCAGGTTCTGGTTGGCCACCAAGGCGCGACCAAAAGGAGATGTATCCTCTCAGTCAGCTTGATCTTTGCGACCACCGCTGGCAACAGAATTGGTGGTGGAAAGGCGTACGCATCCAGACCCTCCCACGACAAGGAAATGGCATCGACTGCCCATGCCGCCGGATCTGGAATTGGAGACACGTACAACGGAAGCTGGTTGTTGAACAGTGTCGCAAACAGGTCGATCAGGGGACAGCCGTGATTGTGACATAGAAGATGGAACACTTCTGGATGCAGCATCCACTCTGTTGGCCTTGAGAGAGCTTCTGCCACACCCTTGGATGTGCCGAGCTCTGACTCTGATGGACGTGGAGTTGTCTGATGCAATCAGGAGATTGGTGTTCCTCAGAAGAGGTGTCCAGTGTTGGACCGCTAAGATGACCGCTTGGAGCTCTAGGTTGTTGATGTGCCACCCTAACTCGGCGTCGGACAAACAGGTGGTTTGGTCATTGAAGTATGCTCCCCACCCCTGAAGAGACGCGTCTACGAAAAGCTCGTGATCGTGTAGGAACTCTGAACACTGTCTCTCCTACTCAGACGTTCAACTCTACAGTCCACCAGCGGAAGTAAGCGTGGAGATGAAGAGGTAGAAGAATCTCGACTGCAGGTCGTCCGACTGTATGTACGGAAGGAGGAAGCTGGAGCATCATGCGTCCTCTGAGTGTCAGAGCTGAGGTGAGGAGACCTAAGAGTGACTGCCATTCTCTGAGGGTGAGTGGCTGGGACAGCCCTCGGTTGGCAAAGTTGACAATTTTCATCCAACGGTCCTGGGGGGATCCTGACAAGATCGCAGTGTGTCAGAAACAAGCCTCCTATGAAGGTCAATTCCTGAGAAGGCTCCAGGTGGGACTTGTCGGTGTTGATAATCCAGCCCAGTTGCTCCAGGAGGCGAATGGCAAAGTCCATCTGTCTGCGTAGCAACTGAGGGTCGAGGTGGTTCATGAGGCAGTCGTTATGTAAGGGTCGAAATTGATGCCCCTGAGGTGGAGGAACCGGGTGAATGGCAAGGTGATCCGAGTGAAAAGCCGAACCTCAGGTACTTCCTGTGGCGATGGTAGATGGGAACATGCTGGTAGGCATCCTGGAGGTCGAGGCTGGCCAGCCAGACCATGGGCGCAAGCTTGGCATGCAGCTGTTCTAGGGACAGGATCTGGAAGTGAGGCGGCTCCGAGAGATAGAGATCGTTGAAAAACGCCATATTGTGAATCATGCACATCTTGACAGAATCCTTCTTGGGGACCAGGAAGATGGGTGAGTAGAACCCCGGGCACTGCTGGGGGTCTAGCATTGTCTCTATGGCTTGTTTGTCCAGCAGCGTCTGAATGTTGTCTGCTAACAATAAATGCTGATCTGCGGCATACACGTGTGACTGGGGCATTGTAGTCAGAGGCGGCGACATGGTGATTGGCAGCTTGTAACCGGTCTTGAGGATGTAACAAAAGGATCCTCTAGGATTGTCCAATTGGACCAGAAGATCCCTAGTCTCCTGCCTACTGGGGTAGGACGAATCGGCACGGCTGGAGGCGGGAGGTCCCAGTCATGTTGGTCCAAAGCTTCAGTGTCCAGAGTAAGGGCGCCTCCCCCTACCCCTGCCGGGCGTCGAAGGGGGCTCCCGGGGACGGTCCTGCAGGCGGCGCTGAGAATCGGGACCGGGCCTGTCGCGGCCACATCTTCTACCGAAGGCGACACGGACTGAATCTCTCCTCGGAACGTATTGAAGCTTCCCCCTTCCTCTGGTAGAAGTTTGGCCACGAAAGGTCGAACAAAGAGCCTCAAAGGTAGAAAAAGAGTATTAGTGAGCTCAGCATGCTCCTTGTAAACCTCAGGCATCCGATCGTCGAATAGGAAACGAGAAGCGAACGGGGCCCTTAACAATTTCCTCTTGAATTCTTCTTGCCAAGAACAAGGTTCAAGGAATAATGTCTGACGAACAACTGTAGTCATGGCCAAAGCCGCCTGAAGGTGAGCCAACAAGTCAGAAACAGGCTTCAGCATACGCTTAAGTTCGTCGTCAATGGCCAAAATCTTCGAATCTTGAACTCTGTAAGAGGACTGAGGAGAGCCCGACAAGCATTTCAGGGATTCATCTTGGGCAGCGATCTTGTGGATCTGTGGATCTTGTAGTCTCTCTTCCAGACATCGGGGCTTTAATAGTGGTGTTAAGTGACAACTTGGCAAAATTGGCGTCCAAGGAAGCCACTGCGTCGGCGACCATTGGGTTCGGCGGAAGAAGTAGCTCGGGTGAAAAACGAATGGCCCTCGTGTTGTCTGTGTCTCTAGACGAAGGACAAACTGGAAGCCTGTCGGCGATCCAATCAAAAAAATGCAGGGGGGGGGGAGGTACGTATCTCCTCATCATAATCAGGAGAAAAATAACGCTCTTCAGTATCCTCCCAGGACACGGCAGGCGCATCGTAACGGGGGCCAGAAGTGGAAGGCGTCGGGCGCTGAGGGTCAGGCGACAGCTGGGGTCCAATACTGAAGGCAACCGCCGGGGAGTGAGAGTGTGGCGAACGGCGTAATGGAGGCGACCTCGAACGTGAACGGCGATGGCACCTCCCTGAGGTCCGAGTTGGTGATCTGGAACGCCTCTCCCTATCACCCGATCGTCTAGGAGAAACGAGATCTGGAACAGGACCGACGGCGGCGACGGTTGGCGTTGGAGCTACGGCTGGGACTCTTAGAGCGGTGGCATTGTTTAGGAGACCGGGAGCGAGAGCGTCTAGTACAACAGGAGAGCTTGGCTTCCAGGCGTCGGGAACATTCCTCCATCAATTGGCGCTGCAAATCCTCCTCTTTAGAAACCATAGACGAGGGCGCCTGTCTGGGGATACGATAATCAAATAACGGCATTAGATCGGAGGTGGCGCTGGTTGATGCAACTGAACAGCAGCATCGGCACTGGAATGGCGCTGGGCAACGAAGGTGTCAGCGCGCTGGAATGGCACTGGGCAACGAGGGTGTCGACACAGGAAGGCACTGGCTTGGGTGTTGGCACTGGATTCAACGTGGACGCTGGAACTGGCTGCCGCAGGCAAGAGAAGCGTCTGTAGAAGTTTCTGCACCTCCGGTTGAGAAAGATCAACGAAGGCGTCAGACGGGCACTGAGCTTCCGGTGTCAGCGTACGAGGTGCAGGTGTAGAAACCCGGTTGGACGTCTGTTCTGTCACAGGTGTTGGTGGAAGAGACGTTCAGGAACAAAAAGAAGAAGCAGGCGAAGTCATGTTCCTTCTACGTTGCGAAAACCGCTTCTTCTTAGAAGCCTTGTAAGCCTTAAAGGCGGCGACAGACAAAGGGGTGCAGAAATGACAACGCTCAAGCAAGTGAACAGGAAACTGTAGCGCAGTCTGGGCACCAAGGGTGTGGATCCTTAGCTGACTTCTGCACTTTGCAGATGCAGCAAAACTGACGGGTCATGCACACAAAATTGTAACTCACGGAAAGAAGAAACGTAAAATAATAAGTATATACAGCAAAAAGAAAAAAAACCTGCAGAAAAATGGAAACACCCCTGCAGTAAAAATGGGCACAACCAAAATGGCTGACCCACTGTACCGAAAATGGCGTGAAAAAAAGCGAAAATTAAGGAATACCAGCATGTTACGCAAAACCAAGCATGAATATTATGGTGAAAGTACACAATACACCAAACATGACAAACGAAGTGACACTCACGACATGGGAACACACCCCACACCGCAGTGAGAGACACGAGGCAGCAAGGTAGGTGATAACTTATATTATTTCCTCTTCACCCACACATAGAGAAGATAGGACATATAAAACATACATACCAAACACAAACGTGAACTTTAATAGGTGAAAGTATGAGTATGTAGCAAGTAGCGAAACAAAAACGTCTGACTCGCTACACGCTTGAAGTAAAAGTGATTTTTCGATAAACCACGCTTGCGTGGGAGGGGAGATAACGTCACTTCCGTTCCTATACACTCGTCGATACAAGAGGCAGCCATTCTAGAAGAATGGCGAATCAACAACTGTCTAATCTCTTTTAAGCAGAGCTTGAGGTAATATGCATAACACCTATGGTAAGGTAAGTTAAAAAAATTGAAAATATAGAAACGTCATTTGGACCCTTTGAAACAATTTCACACAAGTTCTGAATATTGTCTTCATGTGCTGAATGAAATTGAACATGTTGGCCAAAAATGTGCCCTTATATATCTTCCTTAATCTTCCATTATAACAGAGAGGTTTTGTTCGACAGTTGATACTTACACCAGCTTATCACTTCCTGTGATGGCCTTGCATATCTCTTTGTCACACGCCATATTGCCAAGAATACCAACACAGATCTCCTGAAGAGGAATACACTGTGTTAATATTTCTAAAGATTTACTGACAACATATCATTTTGAACAGAGATCTCATCTAGTTCTTTCAAATCTGAGTTGTGGTGTACGTAAACAAGAGATGTCCCTGAGATTTTGTTGAGCAACTTCTCACTGAAATCATATACTGTTGGTCTAAAAAATATGTAATTTTCTGAGTAAAATTGATATTTTATACTTATCCTGACTAATGTATTATTGCTTGTCTCCTTCCTTTCCCGAACGTTAGTGGAACACTTGTATCTCCTTTTTGAAGCTCCCTTCAATAAAGCAGACGTAAAATCACTACTCACCCGCGAGTTGTCTCCCTCTCGGTTTAAGGGAAAGCAATAGCCACCGTCTTCCCAGCTTCACTCTCTCCGAATTGCTAGCCCGACACTTCGATTTACAGGGAAATCCAAAGTCCCTAGCGGGGAGGTTGGGAGGGCTTACCTCATGAGTCAGGATAAGTATAAAATATCAATTTTACTCAGAAAATTACATATTTTTCCTTATCCTGACTCATGTATTATTGCTTGTAGAATCCGACGGATCTGGTGGTGGGTCAAGCCACTTCTGGATTCCAATTAGTGATTTACGTCTTGCATACCCCCCTATGGGAACTTCCTGGTAGCACTTCAATTTACTGCTAGGCTCTGCTGCTGCTGTAACCCTTTACTTCCAGCTTTCTCTGATGGGGGGGACCACAATTGTTAACTTTTGGTCCTTGCTTCTGTTAACATTTTTATGTGGATTTTTGCAACTCCATCTCTTGATGCAAGCATCAAGTGGAGAAGCGACCCTTCTTATGTACGAGTACGTCCTTACAAGTACTGGGTCTTATCACTTATGCTTGTCTGTCTTAGACGTGCATATGGACTCTAAAGCTGTAACTCTCCTGAGTGTTGGCTTTTGCAAGTCATATGATAAAAGGGCGAGACTCTGTCTCAGCGCCTCTGTGGAACTGTCAATTGTGCTACAACAAGTGGGCCGAAATGGTGAATGCCAGAGCCGTCTTCAGTGGCGATGTCTCTCAGGTAGTGGTTGGCAAACACCATGTCCGATTTCCAAAAGCAGCCCTCCATTATCCTCGTGATAGAGCAGTTTCCATGTAGAGCGAGTGTTGACGTCAGAGCTCAAATTTCATGTGGATTGGAGGCTCTTGGAGGATCAAGTCCTGCTGCTTTGTAGGCCCGTAGAATGACAGTTCTCATCCATATTGATATCGTAGTGCGAGAGATCTCAGTCTGTGTCTCTGCCGATATAGGGATGAAAAGACGCTTGAATTTCCGTCTCCTGGTCCTAGACCTTTGTAGGTAGACTTTTAATGCTCTTACTGGGCACAAGGATATGTGTATCCTGTGGCCCAAGGACTGATGATAGTGCGGGGATGTGGAATTGTCTGTCTGGTTGACCTGGCAGTTCATTCTTTGCTATAAAGTCCCATCTCAGTCCCATATGCACAATGTTTCGATTTTCATCAAATCGTGTCCTTTCAAAGTCTAGAGCATGTATTTCCGACATCCTTGCTGCTGTTGCTAAGGCAATCAGGAACAGAGTTTTCTGTGTCAAGAACTCAAATGATGTCCTATCTAATGGTTCATAAGCATCACTGGTGAGATCCCGTAGAACTATGTTGAGGTCCCAAGCCAGAGCTTTAAATCTCTGTTGTTGGTCCTCCAGTTTAAAAGAGCGTAGTAAGGCCAGTAACTCTGGTACCTTAGTCAGTTTTACACTCGTCCTCATAGTGATAACTGAGCTCAATGCCGCTAGGTATGTTGAGAGTGTTGACCCTTTTAACCGCTTCGTTTGTCTAGGTGACAAAGATAGTCCGCCACTTGAGGGTGTGTCGCTTCCATGGCTGTGAGCCTGTTTTCAAAGCGTAGAGTCTCAAAGCTTAAGCACTTTGTCGTCATTACAAGTTGCGTGTTGACTAGCGTAAAGCTAAGCGTGACCGCTTTAGCTGCCCTGGCGGAATATCCTCTGTTATTCAATCACGCCTTGATACGGTCCATGCGTGCGTAGGCGGAACACCTTAGGGTTGCCGTGTGCTTGCTTTGTGTGTGGATGTACTAGCAAGTTCGCCCACTCTGGTAGTTGCAGTTGAGGCGGTCCTAGTTCTTGTATGAGAATGGGGAACCATATTCGCTGGCCAATAAAGGCGATCAAAATCAGTTGCAGGTTCCTCGTCTGCATGATTTTCTGCAACACTTCCAGTATTAGAGCTGGTGGCGGGAACGCGTAAGTGTTTAGTCCTTCCCAAGAGATGCTTAGAGCATCTGTTGCCCATGCTCGTGGATCTGGTATTGGAGAGACGAATGTTACCAGTTGATTGTTGAATCTTGTGGCAAACAAGTCTATTAGTGGTGCTCCTATCTCTTGTATGATCTGTTTGAAGATTTCTGGATGTAGCATCCATTCTGTTGGGGATGGCTGAGTTGGACGAGATAGTGCGTCTGCTATCACATTCTTGGCTCCTGGAATGTGGCATGCTTTTATGTGGATGTTCAGATTGTCTGTTATGCTGAACCGATGAAAGCACAGGTTCAGAAGGTTCGCCGACCTTGTTGACCCTTGTTTGTTTATGTAGAACGCCACTGTGGAGTTGTCCGTGTGTACCGTTAGATTAGCATTTCATAGAATGCTGGTCCAGTGGAGTATGGCGTTTATCACTGCTTTCATTTCTAGCATGTTGATATGCAGATCTTTCTCTTGTAATGTCCATTTCCCAGCTGACACTTCGTTGTCGAGGTGTGCTCCCCATCCTTGGAGAGATACGTCCACATATAGATGCGTTTTGCACTCCGGCTCTGCTAAGTAGGTGCCTCCACAAACATTCGATCTCTGAGTCAACCATAGTAGATATGGTTTTCGTCTGTCCGGGAGTCCGAAGGGGTCCGGATCGTCCAGATGTGCAATTACGAAGACCTGTAGTGGGCGTAGTTGTAATCTCCCTCTGCGCGTCATATCCTATGCTGACGTGAGGAGACCCAACAGACTCTGCCACTGTCGGAGTGGCCACGGAGAGAGTAGAGGTTGCGATACCATCTGTTGTATCTTTAGCCAACGGTCCTCTGGTACTGTTATGTGGTTTTCTGTTGTGATGAGCTGAATTGCTAGGAACTGCAGGTCCTGTGTAGGCTCTAGTTCCGACTTGAGGACTGAGTAGGCTCTGCCAACTTCGTAGTAATAACGGAGAGAGTAGTGCTTGAGATACAATGGCTTGTATCTAGATCCAACGATCGTGAAACCCTTGCCATGTCCGTAAGGGAAACGAAGCAATGTCCCACTCTGTGACTGCCATCATTGTGAAGTCTATATAAAGTAGACTGGCTGCCGTCACCAAAAGTCCGTCAAACGTATGTTGCTGCAATTCGCCTGATGAATCATCTTCAATGCTGACAGGGAAGGTCTTTTACCCCGTGAAGACAGCCGAATCACGTAGTTCCCGTCTAACTGGACTGTAATTGAGGCCTTCCTCCCTCGTTGAAAGGTTGTTGTCACTTGTAAACAATTCCCTGACATGTGAACTCACGTCCGACTTCTGCGCGCAGGGCGTTGTCTCTCATGGACCAATCAAAATGAAGCATTTTGATTCCTTTAGCTTCCCAGCGATGTGACGTCACCGGTGTAGCAGAAAAAAGGTCCTCGTAGAATCTTGTTCAGTCGTTGATAACTTATCAACACTCGGTCTTGTCCGTAGCCTTCGGAGTTATCACGAAAGTGACCATGTGTATAGAGGGTTGCATCGTAAACGCTAGCGAAAGATTCGCCGCGTAATACCGCTGTAGGTAGGCTGTTTTCCTGGCTGCTGTGACTGTTACTTCAGACCTGAAGATAATTCAGTCGTCCTTTTATACAGATGATCAGCTGAAGTCTACACCTCGTCAGCGCTGCTACTTGTAGACTGCATTCATCGATCTCAATGAAGCGTCGTAAATTACCCTCTTTGTGTTGAAACACACAGGTCCTTTTAGAGTTGATGCTCAACTTTGTTGTAAGTTCTACAAAGGGAGTCGTTGATGATTTTGTAGTTTACATCAATCTCTGGAGCCTTTATGCAGGGTCCCATGTAAAGTAGCGGGAATTCCCAAACTTGAACGTTGGGAATATGTTGACTTTGTAACTTCATAGCCTTAGCAAGGCTGCTGCTGAACCACGCCAATGTGAATACCTGAAGATCTGTACGCAAGTGAAGATCTCTATATGGACATGAGTCCCGTTATTATCTTCTGATGTAGATATATCTATCTAAAATTTCTCAACGATGTGAATCCCGTCCTGGATTCAGTCTGAAGATCTGCGCAGGTGATGAATTCGGACAAGAGTACCCCTCTTGAACTTCAACACATGTCCCTCAGTCTTTACGCCGGCGAAGATCTCTTCCTTCGAGGGTGATGCTAGGTCCAGTCCATTAGCCATCCAATATTTTATCTCTGAGTCCGAAAATATGATACCGCCATCGTCCTCTGTATCATGTCCACTGGTATATGATCGTTGAATATCCTTGGAGATCTGCGTGGCGATCTACGTGGCGATCTACGTGGCGATCTGCGTGGCGATATGCGTGGCGATCTACGTGGTGATCTGCGAGGCGATCTCCGTGGCGATCTATGTGGGGATGAGCATGTTGAACTACGAGTAGTTCTAAGAGGCGATCTGTATGGCTACCTGCGTGTAGGTGAGCGTCTTCTAGGCCGGGATTGCCTTCCTGGCAATGTATTCCTAAGTGGTGAATCCCGTGACGATCTGCGAGGTGTTGTTGACGCCCTTGAAGATAATTCAGATGACCTTCGCGCAGGTGAGAGATTTTGTTGAGGGTCTGAGTCCCGAGACGTCTCTCTAGACCTTCTAGGTGGTGTAGGTTTCTTTCTCTGTGAAGTGGGTAGCCTGCGTGAAGGTTCTTCATTAGCCTCATCATCTGATGATGATCTCATTAGTTCTGGAGAGCGTGCCGTCCTGCGCGCAGGTTTGCTGACGTCATGTAGCGTAGATCTGCTCTTAGTCCTAGAGCTAGATTCTCTGGTAGGCCTCTCAGATGTATCATCAGTGTGGGGTCCTTCGTGCAGCTCTGGATCCTCTCTGAGGTTGATGACTTGAGCATGAGAGCTGACTGGCTGTCCATCATGCGAGGCTCTTTCTTGTGCGAAGCGCTTCTCCATCATCTCCATCATTTGTTGAGAGAATTGCTGCATAAAGGCCCCGGGGTTGACTGTCTGCGACGATTGTAGAGATGTCGTATCTGAGATGGTAGCGATATGGTCCAGGGATCGCTGTGCCTCATGGATCTCTGCTGTCAGTGTAGAAGGTAACTCGGACTGCGTAGATAGGGCTGCTGACGTTACCGTTGCTGAGGCCTGCTACCTTTTCTCATGCTGTATCTCTGGGATGATCGACAGCGGCTCATCATAAAGGCCTCTCTCTTCCATCAGGACGATTTCGGCCGACAAGGTCCTCGTAATCTGCGAAGAACTCCCCGTAGAGCTGGTTGAAGTCTTAGGGGTGTAAGGCTTCTTCTGCGTTGAAGATGGCCTCTTCTTCTTCATATGGGTTGAGGAGTTGTCCGATGTAGAAGATCTTTTCTTCGATGTAATGGCGGACATCATCCCACGCCCATCTTCTGAGGACGCCTCCAGCAGGTCACTGGATGGAAGTATGTCGTCTGACAACGTTAGACAGCTCTTTAGGGACTCAACCGGTTTAGCCATGACTTGCAAAAGTCGTCTGGATTTATCCTTAGCATGCCTAAGTACAGAGAAATAATAATTATTAAATTCAATTTGTGTTAATTGCTGACATAATTTACAGCGAGAGCTGGAAGTACATATTGTTGTGCAACTGGGCACAATAAATGCGGGTCTGCAGCAAATAACCTAAACCTACAACGAAAACAGGTTTTCATGAAATGTAAACAAACTGAACAATCACGTAAAACCGTGAATAAACAGTCAAATTATGAATAAATTTCAAACCATATTGTAGAAGGATACTCCCTGAAACCTTATAAAGGTAACTTATAGGGAAATAACTAAGTTATCAAAGGATATAGTGCCGTATTGGAGACACAGGTGCTCTCCCAACCGTCCACTAGGGCGAAGAAGGAGAGAGTGAAGCGTGGGAAGACGGGTGGCGCCGTTTTCCCGCCAAAACCGAGAGGGAGACAACTCATGGTGAGTAGTGATTTTATGTCTGCTTTATTGAAGGGAGCTTCAAAAAGGAGATACAAGTGTTCCACTAACGTTCAGGAAAGGAAGGAGACAAGCAATAATACATGAGTCAGGATAAGGAAAAATATGTTGTATCTGGTGATTTTCTAACTAAACACTGCCTACACATTTCCTTATATTTACCTATTGTTCCTTAAATTATTGCCGGAATTGCTTGTTTTCAATTATTGATGTATATGCGCACATGCAGCTATCTTTGTTAATCAATTATTGCGATATTTCATAATTCTGTTTCAAGTGGCATTGACTCATGATCAGAGCTCCACTCGAGTTGAATCTGGGAGAAAAGATCAAAGTGGATTATGTCATAAAATCTTCAGTGGAACCAACAAGCATGGATATATGACTGACAACACAAAGATGATCACCCCAGGCCACTGGATTAGAATGCACTTGATTTTCTTGCTGAGCCCCTCAGGGAGTAAACAGCCAAAGCTGCCCATGAGGCAGCAGAAGATTAGCAGTAACACTAAAAGCTCATCTCACCCCAACCTGGATGAAGACAGACATGTTTCAAACAAAGGCACTTGCTGATGGAGACATTTGTCTGGAATCAAGCTTTTCAACATGGTCTTTCATCCAACTACTCCCTACAACGGCAATGATGTAGCCTAGTGGTTAGAGTGTTCACTCATCACGCCGAAGACCCGAGTTTGATTCCCCACATGGGTACAATGTGTGAACCCCATTTCTGGTGTCCCCCTGCTGTGATATCGCTGGAATATTGGTAAAAGAGACATAAAACCATCCTCACTGATTCACTACTCTCCACAACCAATGTAGCTTAACTGCTCCTGATTTGTGACACGCTGTACATAGGGCCAAGTGTCACCATTTGCCAATCCAGGGATTGACATTGTGAGTACCAACAGACATCTTCAGGGAATAAAGTAAGAACATGTTACACAACTCACAGTCACTCTGGGGGCTTTAGACTTAGCAATCACACCAGATAATATCTCCACTGCTTTGAATTCTTGTAGGAAAACAGCCACCTCCTAAAACAAATGAAACAAATATCAAAACAATAGATTTGTGTAGAGGGGAATGTCTAAGTAACCATCCTTTCCTTGAAATAAGGTTCACAACATAAAACAGAAACATTGTAAGTTGTCTTAAACATCCATGTGTGGAGTAGTCTCAATGGTTGAAGGCAGCATGAAAACAACCTTTCAATGATATGAGTATGTTATGAGTATCTGATCAGGTCATCAACCTGTTACAACCAGAAAAGGTTACCAAGGACTGATGCCTTGTGGTAACATGTAACCCTCACAGGATGTGGTATAGTAGTGTTATCTCCATTGAAATCTAATTCAAATCAAAATCTTTGATACATTGCTTCTTTGTGTCAACATCTGACGACACCTCAATAGAAAGTCACTACAGGTTCAGCATGAGACAACTTGAATCGTCCAATCAAAATGAAGGATGCATGATATTTGAATCAATCAGACTTCAGCTTTCGGAAACAATTTGGCATCGTTTTTTTTCCATTTCATTCGCAAATTCAGATCTTTGCTAAAGAAAATAGTTAAAGAACATAAATATACCCTTCATAGGGCAGCCTTGTGCATGTAGATGCCATCATACATACAAACAAGCAGATGTGTAAAGCATCCACAACAAAGTAGCAATGCAGCTAGTGCTGGAGCTATTGATCTAACAATCAGTCAATCGATCGATCTCACTTGCATCAGCGATTACCGAAAGGCTTGGGAGACTAACTGATATTCATAAAATATGAAACATCATTAAAATTTCAAAAGTATGTTTCTTTTTGTCATGGTTGTTAAATTAAGACATAAACAACTAATGCAGTTTCCTGATGCATAAACTGCAATGAAAACAACATAATTACATGGGTGTCTCAACAGGAAGTATCATGGACCGTCTTGATTTATGTAGCATTAATTGGTGCCTGTTTTATTTGCACAATGTTATGACTGTGTCACCGAGTTTTGTGATAAGGTTTACAATTGCAATAAATTATTAATAATTTACTGAACCCCAATAATCGATCTCCATATTATGAGTGATAACCAGCTTTAACTGTAGCTTTGGTTTCACTCATCAAGATTTCCTCAATTTTATTGATTTATGAGATACTGAAATAAGATATGAATCAGGGGTGGAAAGAACTTTAAAATTGCTAGTACTCCGGTGCAGTGGCACATGTAAAATCACTTGCCCTGATAATTTTTCCACTATGTTTTCTTGTTGATTTTTTAAATAAACCACATAATAAATATTGGAAAGTCAACTGGACACCGGTACAGTGTGAAATACAAATTTGCTTGCCCGGCAGAAAAAAACACTGGACTCGGGCGTCGGTCAATGGGTTATTTCCACCCCTGATGTATACATGATTGATTCCCACACTCGTACCCTAAAGATTAAAAGCTGTGATGCTGATTCATCTCATGCAACCTATTATGGAGGTGTCCTCGTATCGTCATGAGGAGCGGAATCCGAGTAAAAGATCTGATATTAATAGTGGTGTTCCGATGATCGAAAATAATCGAAATCGATCGAAATAAGGATTAAAAATAATTATTGATTGTAAAAAACATATTTTCGATTAATCAGAGTTTTGTTATTTTAGTATAACTCACTTGAATGAAGTAAACTAACCATTAAATTTGATGAATATTCACAAACAAACATGCCCTCAACAGTGTAAAGCTATGCACATTGTAAAATTTTAACCACTTTTATTGTTTAATTACAATTCCAGTGTCTTTCTTGCATGCATGCATTTCATTGCATGACAGTATTAGGCCAGACCAATTTTATTTCTTGTTTTACTGTCTGCCGGTTGTATGTTTTCAAGAATGAGGAAAAAAATAAAAATTAATTTTCCCTTCTCAAACGATAAAATCCTAATGTTTATGTGATATAAGTGAAATACTCTTGAAATCAGTGTGAAACCTATATTCACTCAACATATATTTAGTTGATAGAAACAAACCAAAAGAGTTAACATGGAAACTCACGTAGGGTTTTGCTTTGACTGGTGATTTTATTTTTATATTTCTGAGGACAATAATTCGTAAAACAAGAAATAAAATTGGTCTGGCCTTAGTTATAAAAAACATTAATTAGAAAAAACCTGGGAAAAAACCCTTAAAATTGGTGATTACATTAATAATGTATACATTTTGATTGTAATCGATAATCGTTCACCACAGGTCCTCCGATAATCCATAGTGGATTTGGTTTCCGATTCACAACACTAGATATTAACGAGACTGATCACCATGGTTACACTTACAGGATTCATGGACATGTCCCAGAGTTTACACAGCTCATTCTGGAGGTCTTCATCCACATCCACGCCAAACTCGGTCTCCGCAGCTTCTTTCCCCTCGTTCTCCTTGTCTACTTCCTGGACAGAAACACACTTAATCAGTGATGGTGACCCAACACATTGACAAATCTGAAGTATCTTATTGTGGCTCAATTACCACTCACTCACCATGGTTTTATCCCGACCTGTTCAAAGGCTGATAATCAGCATTAAGTTTGAATTAAAAGTCAGAAACCATTCCCAAATTTGAATTAAAATTCATAAAGTTATTATGGTAATAAATAAGGATTGACTTTGCTTTTATTTCAGTAATAGCAGAAACAATAAATAAATAAAATAATGTTTAGTTTTATGTAATAGTATGCATAAATGTTTTAAAGAAAAGGAACAAATGAATCTTTCTTCACAAGTCAATAAACAATTAAATATAACTTTTACTTTTACTACACATGATTATGGTGAACATACACGGTAAATATAAGATTCTACTCAGTTCTTTAGCATGCTTAGACATCCTTGAACTGTCATTGTTTAAACATACAAATTTCTATGATGATACAAGAATTTTTAAACTTGAGAGTTACTATGATTACAATCCCTAACAAATAAGTTACAGTTTACTTGCCTGAAGTTCGCATCATTAGTGAGTAAGCAAGTTTAGTTTTAAGCTGCTTTTAGCAATATTCCAGCAATATCAGAAGGGGACACCACAAATGGGATTCACGAATTGTACCCATGTGGGGAACCGAACCCGGGTCTTCGGCATGACAAGCGGGCACTCTAACCACTAGGCTACCCACCACCGCCCCATCATTAACCAAAATAGATTTAGTGTTAATGCCTTGGCTATTATTATCTCTAAGTACAAGACAGAAAACAATCAATATACCAATGTCAAAAGCAGCTGAGACCCATGCAGTTCTGGGTCAGAATTGCTCTTCAACAACCCATGCTTGTCGTAAGGGGCAACTAACAGGATTGGGTGGTCAGGCTCACTGACATAGTTGATGAATGTCATATCCCAATTGCATAGATTGATACTCATGATGTCAATCACTGGATTGTATGGTCCAGACTCAGACTCAATATTTACAGTCTGTCATTAGCTGGAAAATTGCTGAGTGTGATGCACAAAACAAACAAACAAAACAAAAACAACTGACTTTAGAAAAACCTGACTCTTACCTGAATGAGTTTCATCAGGGTGGTGAATAACCAGTGTTTGCTAAAGGCAGTCTGTCCAATACTGTCTCCATGCACCTCATCATTCTGGCAGAGCTCTGGTGGCGGGGAGGGGTTGCGTGTAATCTGTGGGGAGCCTCCAATTTCTTCACCATCTGAAATATCACAGGACTGTCTAGAGGTTGCAATAATTGTACAACGCACTGAAAATCCATCTTCCACCTCAGTACAATCTGAGAAAACTAATTCTGGTGTATCAGAATTGTGATGATGCAAAAATATTGCAACATGTAGCATAAATCCATCCATAATCACTCACTCTCAGTCTAGCTCAACATTAATGTGGAACAACAACTGCTTATATGATGGGAAGTAGATGATAGCAACAAGTTCACATTTAAATGTTGTGACAGTGTCTGGCTCATCTGTTTCCGCTATATTAGTGAGAGGTTCACCATGTGTCACATGACTATTTACAACATTAGAGCAACATCATGGCATCAAGAATACCTGTACCAAACACATAATACCAAATGTGGGAGACGGACCAAGCCAACACTGGAACAACTACATGCTAAATTTGTTCCACATTACTTACATGAAAGCTTATATATGTATACATATGTATCAGATAATATCACAGACGTTGATAACAACATCCATATGTCTTAATAAAACATGCTGAAATGTCCTTGCATTAACTCCAAAAGAGTTGCACAATATCTTGGTTACATAATGAATGTCCCAGAATGATGGGCAGTGAATAAAAACTGTCCAACATTGTGCCACTGCCTAAAACGCATAATTCAAATAGGTATTAAAAGCTGATAACTTCAAACAGGCCACTGCTTTTGACTTGAAGCTGATATTATTGGAAGCATTGTAATATTGTAAGCGGTTTCAGTGTTTTAACTTAAATGTGTATGACGTTTAATTTTCAATAACAGTGTAAAACGAATCCGATCGATTCACGCAGACAAAACACTGCAATTATGTGATCGATGGTTATGTTTCTGACAAAGTACCTGCGCTCATACTTGATTAGTAACCACTGCAAAACAAAAATCAAAATTGTAAATATTATGGTTTTCTTCCCGCGTCGGCCATGCCTGATCAATAAAGCTTTAGAGTTACCTCCCTTCAAGAACTTGTTTAGGGACAGTGTCAAAATATTAACTCTCAAATTGAAAGCTGATCGTGCACGGATAAATTTTGTTTCGTCGTTTCAGATATTTTTAGCGTTTGATGAGGTGGTTCTAGTTGTGTAATAATCTCGTTAAACATTAGTTACTGGGATATACTTTAATTTCTTCTCAGTAGAATCTCTCACAGATGTCATGCGTTTTAGCTGATTACTAAACCATACAAATTCCAAACCCTTCAAGTGACAGCAAGTAAGATCAAACCAAGTCGTGCTATCAACAGAACAATCATGTTTTATGCCTGTAATTCTTGATTATATGCTACAACCACAATCTTGCTCTGTGGTAGAAAAATCGCTTGAAATAGCCGCGTGTGAAGGGGGCATCTCAAAAGTAAAAGTGGTCATGACATCATTTTGCTTAAACTTATAATGCTGAGACAATTTACATTGAAAATGCTTTCTCCTATCGTCATACAAATCACAAGATATTATGTGACGATAATTGTAGCGCTGAGATGCCCGTAGCTATTTCCACCTTTTCTGTAACTGTATGTGTTTTTCTTTTTACAATTTCAATCATCTTGACCATGTCTAAGAATACAGACGTGGTTTCAACTGCTAAACCCCCAACAGTAACAACCAATGTGTACATAATATATTTATTCTTCACTCATGCTGACGAGACGGTATTTTGCCTTAACATGATGACGGCATCATATATAGTAAACGCCCACATCCACCACGCACTCTACACAAAACACAGCGAGAGCGCCGCGCTGGTATAAGCCCAGTATACGTGATGAGTAATTCAGGAAATATTTCCAGCAGTGGCTATTTGAGCTCGCCCGTATTGTACATACATATAGATAAATGCCTAATCCGTGTCTACCAGGTTTTGATACACAGTCAAGCCCCGTTAATCTCAAACTTGTCGTCGCAACCCAATTCAATTTCCACCCAAATCGATAATATAATTCAACCCTTGAACCCAGACAATGGTATTTCCCATGTTACCTCTTCACGGCGAATACTGTTGGTGGGAACGTGTGTTCACACACTGTAGTGAGTGAGTTTAGTTTTACGCCGCTTTTAGCAATATTCAAGCAATATCACGGCGGGGGACATCAGAAATGGACTTTACACATCGTACCCATGTGAGGAATCTAACCCGGGACTTCGGCGTGACGAGCGAACGCTTTAACCACGACGCTACCCCACCGACCCACTCTAACTGTAAGGGACTTACTGTTCGTTAAACCATATGTTTTAAATCAGCTGATTTCACTGTGAACTTATTACCGAGGTTTCATTTTTGGTCGAAGTTTAAAAATTATACCTTTCACCAAATATATCGAATGGTTCAGAGTTTATTTTTTAGAAGGCACAACTTTACAACTGGTATAAACATGATGTGTTTAAATTGTTCAACTATCGTGTCAACTGTATGTACTGCAAGTATAAACTGAATACTGTTTGCTGATATACGATAGAACAACTAAACAGAAGCATGTATATGGTACGAAAGTATCTATGTTCCCCGATGACATGTAAAGCATATGTACACAGTTACACATGGAACGCATGAGATGCTTACATAACACCTGTTCATATATTTGGCTAGTTGGGAGAATTTTACAGAGTGAACAGTGGATATCTACGTGGTCTTTTGTATGCTTCTTGACACAAAGAAACGCAACATTAACACACATGCGACAATGTCGCATGTGTGTTAATGTTGCGTTTCTTTGTTTCATCTTTATTTTAAAAGTCAGATAAACGTGAAATATATCTTTTTAATATAATAAACACTTGAACACAGATATGATCGTCATGTCCATATTTCTAGAGTAATGAAATGATGTGTACTGGGGTGATGGCATATCGACCTGATGGATGAACCTCTCGACAACGACGACCTTGACCTTAGCTGCTTCCGATGACCGCGTGATCTTTGAAACATACTGACAGGACATCAGCAGGGCATATCGTTGTGACATGCCAGCATGTTTTAGGGTCATTAAAAGGTAGATGAGTCAGGTGGGAACACGTGCTATGTCACATCAGGACAGTATTGGCAGAGTTTCCAACCTAATGGAGTCAACAGCTATCACACACAAGCTAAAATTGAAATATATGGACCTGTAAATGTTGACTCATTTGATATACACCGTAGAGATCCCGGGACACAGTCCACTTCTACAAAACGACCGTGGCAGCACGACTGTTACGGGTCTATGTTAAAATATGGGAGTTCACTTTAAAAGAGTGAATGAGTGAGTTTGGTTTTACGCCGCACCAGAAATGGGCTTCACACATTGTAACCATGTGGGGAATCGAACGCTTTAACCCCTGGGCTACCCCACCGCCCCTACCTTAAACAGTACTTAGCGCTACCATATTATTGTGGACCGATGGCGTGGTTCTATTCTCATGCTGTCACCCCCACTTTTCCACGCCCGCTGTTTCGCTGCAAACTCACCAGACTTACTGGAACAAGCTATTAGCTTTGTCGAAGTTTAATAAATTATTAGCATAAGACCATGCGCATCTGCCATATCTACATACATGTACTTGGTTGGCGTACTCAGTTATCCAGTATGTATGTTCATTCAGATATATACACCATAATACTGCGAAGATATGATACTATGGATAATCGAGTATGCTTAGTAGCAAGCTCGGAAGATACTTAACTGTCGGACAAAGGTAAGTATATGCACTCATGATTGTCGGTATGTTAATATGAACAAACAAGAAATTGTTATTCCGTGTGTATCACAGTGGCCTTTAGCACTTTATGTTTGCAGTGGTTCGGCAACTATTCAGCCAACCAACGTGTTGATAATGTTTGTACATTGTTTATATTGTTTTGGTCAAATCCAGCTTTTTGTGTACACTTTCTTTTAAGTTAATAATTAAGCAGGTATCAAAGGCTCGGGGGATCACGGAAGCGTGTTCAATAATAATTCAAGCACCCGAGCAATTTTACAGACCCGTGTGAATACCGTTGGACATGTATACTCGGTTTCCGACATGAATTCACACTTCGGTTGGAAACATTTCTCACTCAGTTATGGATTTTCGCAGCTCACAGATACTTCACATCAAGTGTGTTTGATATATGTATCGAGTTAAGACCGTCCCCGTGTTCCATGGTCCCGATCCACAAAGCGTTCGTAACGTTACGACGCATCGTAACTCTATACTTTATCATAGACTTACGAATGGCATGGTGCTACGAACGTTTTATGGATCGGGCGCCAGGTCTTTGTCCTTTTTTAGGAATGCCAAGTTTTATTGCAAACTGAAAATAGTTCATTGAATCTGTCACAATTATCATACGCAAAACTTGGCTATGAAATATGGAGATTATTAACTTAGATAGCAAATAAATAACACACTCATGGTTCAGTAACGACCATTATTTTATACAATAACATGACGTCATTAATAATTGTTTCAAATGCCGTCAAATTGGAATATGTTTGCAAGCATTGCAAACATTGAAGTAAACAAAATACATATTTTACTAATCTTATCAAACATCATGTTTATCTTACTTCTTTGATCTGTCGTAGTTGATGTTTGTCATTCAAGGCTTTGCTCGCTCACCTAATAGGATCTGCTGTGTCAGAACGAAATCAGTTTAAGAAACAATCATTGTATTGTAACATCAATACATTCTGATAGTGTGATAGTTCATGAAACATTCGAGCTGGTGTTTTTTCTGTTTTCATTTTTTAAACTTGTTCCATAACTTACCAAAAAAACGCAAGTTACAAAAAACAATTTTTGTCTAGAGTGGCAGTAACGCCAGTTGATTAAATCACTTGCAGATGAATGATGCTTCTGCTTTCAGCACAGAACAGACGCAGTATATTTTTATGGCGTCTTTCCGACGACAAACATATTCGCGGTCATCACCAAAAATAGAAAGAGAAGCGTCTTTGTTTTTGGACTTCGCTACGACGCTCTCGACAAGGGCTTTGATTAATAACCCGATAAGAAATACTTACACAGCGACCAAGTTCGTCATTGCATCGTCACGAATAGGTTACCGTGGTAAGTTTGTTATCTGACCACCCTTTGATAAATGTTATACTATGTGAGCTCCATTCCTTAACCCGTATATAATTGGGGAAATCGGTAAGAATGTGAAAGTGGGTGGTAGGTAGGGAATTATGGCATTATATACCACAGTGCGAAGGTTACACTGGTAATGACATAGGTATACACTATATACAGATATTACATAGCTATATGTCCCCTGCTGTGGTTGGAAGAGGAATGGACGTCGGTGGCCATGTAACGTCAAATATTGCCACGTTGTGAGTGAGTGAGTTTAGTTTTACGCCGCATGCATCTATATGGTGGCGGTGTGTAAATAATCGAGTCTGGACAAGTCAATCCCGTGAACAACATGAGCATCGATCTATGCAATTGGGATACGATGACATGCGTCAACCAGGTCAGCGAGCCTGACCACTTGATCCCGTTCGTCGCCTTTTACGACAAGCATGGGTTACTGAAGATCAATTCTAACCCGGATCTTCATGGATAGGCATTTTTGTAAATAATATACGGTTATATTTACCCCTAGTAAAATCAATACTCTACAATGTAGTGTTACAACCACAACCGCAACAACAATAATAACTCCATGCGTATTCCATTATTATTAGTATATACACTCTAGTTTCATTCTCGAGTCCCACGAATATTAACAGTCACATAACAAACTTTTCCTATACGCGGCACCAGGGGCGGTAGGGCTACTGGTTTAAGTGTTCGCTCGTCACGCCGAAGACCCGGGTTCGATTCACCACATGGGTACAATGTGTGAAGCCTATTTCTGGTGTCCCTTGCCGTGATACTGCTTGAATATTGCTTAAAGCGGCGTAAAACCAAACTCGCTCACTCACTTCACTGCCGGGTAAACAAACCCATGATTATTTAATGATGGGCAGAAATG